TGTTCAGTCATCACATCCAGAAAGCATAGAAAAGGTGTGAAAAAGAATGAATTCTTACTTATAGGCAGATACGTCTGTGGGGCTTTAAAGCAGCCAGGGGGCCATGTGGAACAAGGGGGTGAGGGGTATGTTGGCTTGCTCTTCTGTATCCGCCGTTAGTGGGAGTCAGCTGAGAAGGCCCCATTGGCATGGCATCTCTCTTCATTTTGGCATGTCCCATAATAGAGAAGGAAAATGTTCAAGAATGTTTGCGCAGTTTTTTTTTAGGTATAGGGTATTATTATTATCATTATTAGTTTGAATGCTTTTGTTTTTTGAATGGCTTGTAAGTTTCAGGGGAAGTTTGATGGCTGGCCTGGACCTGTGGTATTTGAAGCACAGCACAGTTAATATGCCCTTGTCTGCCGGCAGCACTACGCCGGTGCATTATCTGAACAGATGGCTCATATTGGAAGTACTAGCCAGATCACAGGTACTTCCTCACCTGGCATAGGAGCTTCTGGAACTCTAGTGATATCTCACTTCGTACTTACCGTTTGGAGATTTCTTCATTGCCGCATGTTGGCCTGTCCAGCTCAGCAACTGCAGCCTCGGATTCCCTTTCTGAGAACCCAGCTTACTTTCCCCTCATCTGGTTTTTGGTTTTTTGGGGTTTTTTTAAACTTTTTTTAAGGTTCATTATATTGGTAACAAAGCTGCACAGCAGAGACACCCGCCCAGTACTGCAGTCATTTGAGTCAAGACGCGGCGTGGATGGGGTTTACCTCCTGGCCAAGCTCTTGGGGAAGGGGAGGGAATGGTAGAACTCCTCGTGCTGACAGCATGTGTCCTCACCTGGTTTTCAGCAGTGACACCTGTCTTTCCAGCTTTAGAATGTTAACACTTGTTTGGTTTCTTGTTAGTGGACAGCATATTTGCTTCCCTGTCCTTTGATCCATTGGGACACAAAAGCAGGTCCAGAAGCTGATAAATGAGCACTCAGAAAAGCCTATGAACTCTCCAAGAAGGCCACCAGGGCCTGCCCATCTTTGCCAGCCTTTTTCCTTCATACCTTAGTCTATACCAGTGTTTTTCAAGCTGTGGGATTTGCCCCACTGAAGGGCCTAAATTAATTCATTGTCATAACCATCTTTTTTTTCCTTCTTTAATGAAATAGAAAAGAAGAAAGCCAGAACACAGCACACATAGTCAAGATTTACCATTATTTTGTAGAAACTTTGTTAATACTGTATAAAGTGTATAGACCCACATGTACATGTGTATATGGGTCATAAAGTTGGAAAAAACACTCTTTTCACAATCCTTCATGTGCAGAATTAGCTTGGCATATCGATCTCTGACATTCAAGCGTTCAGTATCATCAAACCCCTCCTGCTATCCTGGCTCTGACTTTGACTCCCAGTCCAGTAATGGAGTCTGCCTCCCCCTGCCCACTGCACGTTCCTGAGTCCCCATTTTGGTATTCTGCCTAGGGTCTCCCCTTGTATGTAGGCATTGCCCTGCCTCAGTGCTCTAGTCTGACAGTGCCTGAAACTCTGCCACCATGACCACCCTGGCGCCAAGCCCCCCTTCGCTTCATGTCTAAACACCAGCTGTTCCTGGGCTCCCCTGACTCCGCTCACCTGCCCAACAAGAAATCGAGTGCCCCCGGGTCCTAGGCTCTCCTACCTATTCTCCGTTTTGGGTGATAACACCCCCTGGTTACAGTGTTGTTCAACTCTGAAACTGCTTTTTCTCAATGGCTTTAGCATCTGACAATCTAAGGTTCAGATAGGCCACTTACTAGCTTTATGATCTGGGGACTTACGTCAATTCTTAGATACTCGTGGGTAACTCAGTAATTGTTCGTTTCCCCTCTTTGTTCTTAATAGCCCTATGCCTGGGTTTAACTCTGATACCTCCTTCCACTGGCTCTGTTTTTAAGATGCAACATGTGTCTGTCTGTGCTAATAAGTAGTGTCAGCTAAGTCACATTTGACCCTGAGCTGAGATGGGACAGTGAAGTGGGTTATGATTGGGAAGGTGTGACTTCAGAGAAGACAAGTCAAAGAAAAGAATCAGGCCAGAGGAAAAGGAAGTAAATGATAAAAGCAGACATAATACTCTTGCTCTCAAGCAATTTTTATGTCCCCTCCCCGCCCCTCGCCCCATTCTCTCACCTACCTACTGCCTGACTGGAATTCGTATGCATGGACGTGTTTACTTTGTCCACTTAAAAAGGGCAGGAACACCGCCTACTTCAGCTTTCTCCTTTTGAACAGCTGGAGCTCAGCTGTGGGGTTGGAAAGCGGAGAAGCACCTAACGGTGGCCCTCTTTTGCCTTCGCGGCTGAGTGGAGTGGTTGAGCTTTGGTCACCACCGTCCCAGAGGACTCTCTTCTGAAAGACATTTTGAGTACATCTCAGCTTGACTTGTTTAAATCCCTGGGTTCATTGAGCCATCTTGTTGTCTGGATTCAGTCACTTGGTGGTCTCCTAGGATTCAGAGAGAGCTGGTAGGATCTCTTGAGATTTCAGGATACCAAGAAAGTGACAGAGGAGAGGAATAGGATGTATCCATCTACTCATCCAGTGAGACTCAGTTATCTTTTGTGCCTTTTTAGAGAAAGTTCTTTTCCCTAGTCCCTGCCGCCCAGAGAGTTGCTCTAGCCTCCTGTCCAGACTAGGCCCCTGTTCATACCAGCCCTACCAGCGCAGCCCAGTTAGCCCCAGCCAAATGGCTGCTAAGGGTAGAAACAAGGTGAACACTTACTTTAGCATTTTTCTTGTTTCTGCAGTGATGCTTTATTTACTAAGGTTATGTGGCCCAAAAGTTTAATAGAATTGTTTTTTTTTTTCCCTCTGACAATTCTTGTCTTGCTTAGTTTGCAGATATAAAGTGAAAAGTGTTTTTGGCTGTTGGTATTGTAAAAACCATAGGCCATCTTTCATTCTTTTTTACTCCAGCTCCATCTCTGCCTTCAAGGTTAGTCTCAGGCTCTTTGGCTCTATAAGTTTATTGCTGTCTGACAAATAAAAGTTTCACCTCCCCATGCTGGGAATGAGGCAGCCCTGTTGACCTTCTTACCTATATGAGACTTGGGGGGCGGGGGGCTTCAGCTATCCCATCTCGGCTTGGGTGGGAGAAGGCCCTGGCCATTAGCTCAAGCAGCTGCCCTGCTGTAGTTTCTCTCCTGATGATGTGTTCCCTGTCTAGCATTCCATTTGATTTGATATATTCCTTTTGTGGGGCCTTGAGGCTTAGAGAGAAAGCTCTTTTCTTGAGCTTCTGAAAACTCAAGGTATAAACTATTCCTCTTCCTCTGAGCTTTATGACCTTGAATCCGTGCTGTGGCCAGAAACATGAACAGACACCTGGCTTCATCCATAAGAGATTTACCTTCTGTGCCAGCAGTGGCTCCTTTTCTCCCAAAGGCTCCCCAGCAGATGTTTACAGTAGCCTAGATGCTCTGCTCCTTTGTTTCCCCATTGCCAGATCTCTTGTTCCTTCACCTCAGGCTGTTTGTAAATAAGAAGTAACACCTCACAGTTCTGCCTTATGGCAGCAGGAGCTACCAGCAGTGAATCAGAGACATGGGCCCTAAATGTGTCCTCCCCCTAATTTGATCGTTTTCTGTGTCTCTAGCCTAGTTCAACTTTTTACTGCAGTATGATTTGGGAGGAAATACGAATAAGTCTAATTTATACATCAAAACATGACCTGTTTGATGGCCTGTCACAGAAGAGCACTGTTAGCAGTAAATATATTTGCAGAGTGAATGATTGAATCAAAGAGAGAAAGAAAAGACAGTGTTTTTTTTAAAAAAAAATCTTTATTTATTGATGAGAGAGAGAGAGAAACATCAATTTGTTGTTCACTTACTTATGCATTCATTGGTTGATTATTACATGTTCCCTGAACAGGGATCAAACCCACAACCTTGGTATATCAGGACGATGCTCCTCTAACCAACTGAACAACCCAGCCAGGGCAGAAAAGGCAGTCTTAAGTTGGATAGTGAACACTTGTTTTGTATGAAATACTGTCTCTGGGTACAAAGAAGCATGAAGGATGGGATTCTGCCCTCAGGGATCTTACAGGCTAATTGTGGAGTGAAAGGTGCCTTGAGATTTTGAGCGTGGGTAACTGCCAAGAGTAATAATGATAATACTGATCAAATAATCATAGCTAAAATGCATTGAACCTTTCTATATGCCAGGTGCTGTGCTAAATATTATCTCCCCTAGTTCACACAACCATCATATGAAATAAATATGTTATTACACAAGTTTTACAAACAGGGCATTGGAGGCTTTGAATGATACAGCAACTTGGCCGAGGTCACAAAGCTAATAAGTGATAGAGTTAAGATGCCAATCCAGGTCTGTCTGACTCCAAATACCTGATACTTAATTAGTATTTTGTTTTTCTGTCTCTGGTTTTGAATGAAAAACTGGTGGTACTGTTGTCTAAAATACAGCCAGAGGACAGAAGGGAAAGCTTCTTTGAAGAGGAAAATGACACTGACTTAACACTTTGAATTCGATGGGAAAATCAGATAGTAAAGAGAAAACGTGTAGGAGTAGGCTAGAATGGCTCTCAGGATGCAGGACGCTGGTGCTATCAGTATAATCTAGGAAAGAGAGCCATTTATGTAAGTGATGGCTGAAATGGTGAGACTAGAACTATAAGGAGCGAGGAGTCCAAGGCGAGGACTCATCCCACAACTGCATGTGCGTGTGTGTTCCCTTTACACCTAACTTGGAACCCACTGGGTCCTCCTGACAGGTCCCAGACACTGTGACTGAGAGCTCCTCTCCTGCGTTGCTGCCATGACACTCTTGGTTTTTCCCACCTGGAGCAAATTAAACTCCCTTCTCCCACTGCCTCTACCGCATCTCAAATATGATGCCATTCTGATCTAGTGCCTGCCTTATTAGAAGTGTCCAGGGACCGTCCTTGCTGGGCACTACAACTAGTGGCCCTTTTTCTTCACTAACTTTCCTTTTCTCCTGACACAGGCATTGAATGCCCCAGAGGAGCCCGAAACCTCTCAGGCTTGGTGCAGGAGGGAGAGCCGTTCAGTGAGGAAGCAACACTTTTCACCAAGGAACTGGTGCTGCAACGAGAGGTAGGACATCTTCCTGGTTGCTTCTTGAATGAGGAGGGGTGAGAAAGTGGGCTTGCTTGGTCTGATGTTCCTCTGCTGTGTCAGAGACCAGTCTGTCACTTTTTCCAGTGCTCAGCCTTCCACATCCATGATCCATTCTGTGTCTGCCCACATCTTATTTCCTGGAGCCCTGAATCATTGGCCAGCCGCCTCCAAATTGCTCCTCACCACTGGTGTCCTGGGATGCATGGTGCTCAGGCGAACGTAGCCAGGATCCTGATGCAGAGAGCTTACAGCTTTGCAGTCCTCCTGCTTGGCGAATTAGCCTGAGCTGCCTGCTTCCAGCTGGATTTAGAAGCTTGACTAACCCTGTCAGGGGCCAATTTTCTTTGAACATTTATTTGTATCTTTGAGTAATTGCATTTTCTATAGTGAGTTTTCTGACTTAATTTAATTGTATTTCTGTTTCTGCCTGTTGGGCTGGCCCTTACAGGCTTCTCATCGGCTATGATGCCCATCTACCTGCTAATTTTTATTAAGTCATAGTCAACAGATATATCTTCTTTACAGGACTATGCCAGCCATTAATTCTACTAGGTGGGCACAAGAAAAGAACAGTGGGGCTAGTGTGCTGGGCTCAGGCTCAGGATTTTAGATCTCCCTTTGTCCTCATTTCTTTTAAATTCAAATCCATAGGGCCCCTCCAGCCTTCCTGCAGTATCATAATACACACAGTTAAAAGATGATGGGCTCCTAGAGGTTATCTTGTGCATGGGCCTTTTTAGATATTTGAGGTCAGGTGTGTGGGCCTCTTTGGAATGTTTAGTGATACAAGTACCTAAAATCTTCAGCATCTCTCCTTTTGATTTGAATCACCAGCAGGTATATTAGGTGTGAGAGGTAAAGGAGAACAAGCTAGCCCAATATGCTTATGTTGGACTATCCTGGCCTCAAGAGAACCACCACTTTTTTAATTCTCACCTGAGGACATACTTAATGATTTTAGGGAAAAAGGGAGAGAAACTTCCATGTGAGAGAAACATCAATCAATTGCCTCTCGTACACACCCCTACCAGGGACTGAACCGGCAACCCGGGCATGTACCCTGACTGGGAATTGAACTTGTGACCTTTCGGTTTACTGAACAACACTCCAACCAACTGAGCCACACTGGCCAGGGCAAGAGAACTACCACTTTGACTCCTGACTAAACAGTACTCTTTGCTGTTGGTTGCTACCTCTATAGGATTTCTCCAGCACTTGGCCATCTCATTTCGTGAAGGCAGTGTGGCAAAAGAAATTCTGAATTCTTAGTTTGAGAGACACGGATTCCAATTCTCAAACATCAGCTGCAACAACCTGGGTATCGCTTCACATTTCTTGGCCATCTGTACACTGAGGGGTGGGACCCTTCATTATACCCTTAGTTGTCTTACCAGTTTCACATTGTCCTCTATTTTGTTTTTGTAAGAGTCATTTATGTTTGTGCCCTGGCTGGTGTGGCTCAGTAGACTGAGTGCTGGTCTGCAAACCACAGGGTCGCCAGTTCGATTCCCAGTCAGGGCACATGCCTGGGTTGCAGGCGAGGTCCCCAGTAGGGGGCCTGCAAGAGGCAACTACACATTGATTTTTCTCTCCCCCTTTCTCCTTCCCCTCTGTCTAAAAATAAATAAAATCTTTTTTTTTTAAGTGAAGCATTTATATTTGTGAAGAAATCCTATATTGCCATGCAAAGTGCTTTCCCCCTCCCCCCTATTTTGTGACTGCACAATGGAGCTTGACTTTTTATCAATTAAAGATAGAGTTCAAACACTCCAGCTGTCTATCAATAACTTACAATTTTTGAAGTGGCCCGGTGATTAGGTAGAAGGGGCCAACATTGTAGAATTTTCCTCTATGAGGGCCTTTGAATAAGGAACTACAGAGAAGTTTCATATTGGAGTAAGCAGGTGAGTCCATTCAGTGTCATGACTTAAAGACATTACAGAGGAAGGAGCAACAGATGCTTGTTTGTTGTTTTTCTCCAAAGCGGGGGAAAAACCCACTGCTTTGGATTGCCTGAGACATTTGTTAGTTACATTCTCATCACTTAACTATCTCAGTCACACTTCTGTTCTGCCCCCCATTTTTCACTGTAGTCATCTTCCTGTTGTTTCTCATCTCCTAAAGCTTCTTTCCCTTTCTTTTTCAACTCTTGTTTCCTCAGCCACTTTTCTTCCTGATCATGTTTCTGGCCCGCTGGTGATACCCAAAAGCACAAGGGGGTCAAAGAGAATACTGACCACTAAAAGGAGTGAGTGGCCCAAAGCTCTTTTACTCTCTCATGGTTATTATGACCTTACCTTTGTTTGTATATTTGCTGATATTTGACTGTTGAAAAAGATAAAAAATTTTTCTCCATCTTCTTTGATGCCCCAGGCATGTGAGTTTGCAGATCCTTAGTCTAATCCAGAGTTGATATTTATCTTTCATGTTTGTAGTATCCCAGTCTTTCATAGCCCTAAGTTGTGGGTAGGGGGGGTCTCAATAAAGAACTTTCCTGCATTTTCTTAGCTGCTCATTTGATTGCTTGGGCTGACTGTTTTGAAAGATCTTTATCCAGAGGAAAGGCAACTATGGGCTAAACTACAGGTAATTTGGAATTTTGACTAAAGAAACCAGTTGTAGCCTATTCTTCTGGGCATTTTCCTTTATATGATATGTGAAAACTATTTTTTGAACAGTGAAGGAAGGGAAGTTTTTGTTTTGTTGCAGGTTTATTCATTTGCTTTCACCTGTATAGTATCTTCATTTTTATTCCCTACGTTGTTCTGTGGAACTTTCCTCTTTGCCCTCCTTTCCTCAGCCCTGAAGAATCTAGCAAACTGGATGCATTGTTACTCCTGGATACAGAGGTCCTTCCCACCTTTAGGAAAAAGTACCATGTAATTTCCTGGATGCCTGAGTGTGGGTCTACAGCCTCCTACCTCATGCAGTTCTTACCTTCAGGGCAGCCTCCACTGTGCCGCGTTCCACTCCAGGAACTCTTCCGGAGTCAAGCTGCTGCTGCGATGGCTGCAGCTGAACTGATGTTTTATACCTTGCTCCTATCCCCTTGAGAGTCAGATTTGGCTCAGATAACTATGTATTATGAAGGTGTGATTGTCCTTGACCCTGTCCTATTCCTCCCCTTGAAACATTTCTTTTAATTATCTTACTTTTGGCCAAAATTTCTCTACATGCTTTTCCCAGTCACTGTAAACCTTCATTATCATGTAGGAAAGGAGAAGCACACAAGTATCTTGATTTCACCGCCTCTCCTGGGCCCCTGTGTAGATACCACAGAGGCATGGCCAGTGTTGGACTCCCACATATGAACGAGTAACTGACTTGAGGATATGGAGTGGGGGAGGTACTGTCTAGTGGATACTGCCCCTAGGTCAGCCCTCTGCCAGGGAGGGGACGGAAAGCTGGGGAGCAGGGTGACTGGCCCTGAAATGTAATTCCCTGTTTATGAATAAAGTACGATGTCTTGGCTATGGGTAGCCAGCCCAGGAATTGCTGCCTGTCTCTTTTTGTTTTTTAAGTGAAGAGAGAAATGTAGTCTTTTCATCCATTCCTCATGTGGAGCCTGCACAGTCTCAGATGAGTCTCTTCTTTGCATTTCAGATGTTCTCCCTCACCCCCCTTTAACTTGAGGCCTGACAGCCCTGCTTTCCGTAATGTGTTTATCGTCAGCATGGAGCTGGTGACATTTCTAGCCATCACTCAGCTTCACTTTCCTGAGCATCTCCCCTCCATTTTTTTTTTTTCTCCATTTTATTACGTGGTTCTTCTCTTCAGCCTTTGGTTTTTGTTCCTTTCCCTGAGTTTGGGGTCTGCAAGGACTGTTCCAGGTTGAGGTCTAGGTGGTCCGGTGTGCTTGCCCCAGGGTTAAATACCTGATTGCCTCTTTCCTGATTCCCTTTGTCACCTTGGGGGCCAAAGCAGCCAAGGAACTCTCAAAGAAATTCACTTATTTTTACTCAGAGACAGATAAGCTCAACAGTTCCTTCCAGGCTGACTCAGATGGTGTATTGCAGGGGTGGGCAAATCTGCCAGTTTTTATAAATAAAGTTTTGTTGAAACCCAGGCACACTAATTGTTCTGTGTATTTTCTAAGGCTGCTTTTGTGCTGTACAGCAGAGTTGAGTAGTTATAACAGTCTATGGCCTGCAAAGCTTAAAATATTTACTATCTGTCCCTTTATTTAAAAAGTTTGCTGACCCCTGCTGTACAGAGTTGGGTTTAAATGGCTTGTTACGAGTTTGCTCTTGTGCCCGCTGCCTTTGAAGCTGGACTGCTTCTGAACCATACACTGTGAGATCATTGTGTCTTGTTTGTTGCTATAGCTGTCACTGTGAGCTATGAGTGCCGTGTCCCTTTTAACAGCATGTGCTTGGTGACACCTCCCCCATCCCGCCGCCACCCCCCCCTCCCCACCCCCCCCCCCCCCCCCCGCCAGCAACCCTCTTGCAGGCAATCCCCTGCCATGCTGTCAAGGATAGGAAGATCTGGGGTAATTTCCCAGATGGGGAACTGTGTTCATTGCCAGCATCTTCTAGAAGTAGGGACAGGTAGCATTAGCTAATGGGTGGATAACCAGCTTAAGAATGCAGACTGCTAGGTTTTCACACTCCAGCTACCATGTGGTCCTGGGTAAATGATTCCTGCCTTGGTATTCCTGACTAAGACATTGATCTAGCAGTCCCCAGCCATCCTCTTCTTATGGGGCCCTTCCTGTGAGTAAAACAGTGACTTGGGACCTCTTCACACCTTCTTGCCAGAAGGCCAGCAAGCCAGCACTCACTCACTGACCAGCTGTGGCCTAGACAGCACTGGGATCACTCTTAGGGAAACCTGCACTTTGAGACAAGCAACGGTCCAGTGATATTAAAGGAATCAGTACCCCAATCTAAGCCTCTTCACAGTTCCAGGCTGTGGGAAGTGCAATTCCCCGGGGTCGGGGGCAGGACATGGAGGCTTGGTGATCATTTCCAAGG